TTTGATCTATCTCTGCATCCACTTGATTGCAGATAGCAAGTCAAGCGCAGGCTCTGCGTTATCATTTATCCGTGCCATAGGACATGCTTGTTAATATTACTGTCCAGAGCTATGCCTATTTGGCTCCGATGAAATAAACAAAGGAGAATTTGAAGTCGACAAGACTTCAAAGGAGCTGATGACAGTTGTACCATAAAGGTGCAAGCAATATTTATTTGGATCGTGTCTGGAGCATTCGCGAAACACTGATCTATAAGTTACAACTCGGCAAACTCTAATTGGTCAAATAGCTATTGGAACTCTTCATTCTGAATTGAGCAATCACATTAAATCTTAAATCAGAATTATGTGTAACAGAAGACGAAGGGTTGAAATGATGCAATAGCATAAATTCACTGCAATTCTGGAGGTCTTAGATAGATTGCATAAAATTGAAGCTCTTAAAGTTCAGGTGTACAAATGCCTATTAAGGAATCCATGAAAGTTAGCACATTGGTTGAGTGGACAAATTTTCCATTTAAATTTGTGCCAGGTTGTGTTTGTCAGAAAGTTGAAGGAAACTGGCAACGGGAAGAACCGCTTTGTTGGGAATTATGCTTTGACGAGTTTTCACAGGTTAATTGGCTGTTTGGTCAATAAAAAGTCAAATCGACAACGACAATTCAATTCCTTTTCCTGTGGGAGTAGTTATAGCCTATGGCCACCATCTTACTATGATATTTGTAAAAAGTAGGCAATATTAATGTCTGATGATGAAAGTTATTGGAAATCAGGGGATCGATCATTTTGTTCCCCGATTTATAACGGACTTGGTTTTGCCAATAAGCTGGGAATTGGAAGACTAACTCCTACAAATCAATTTCTCTCAACTCTATTTCTCACTAGCAAACCAAGTTGCCTAACCACCCCCATGACCCTCAATTATACATAAAGTTGTGAGTTCTTGGGGTAAGAGGCCATAGCAACAATACCAGGTTTGATTATACAATTCTTCTCGAGAGTTTATAAATTACAGGCGGGTTAAACTTATAATGCTCCGAGAAATAAACTTCTTATTGAGACACTAAATATCATTTCTTTTATCTCTCGAGCCACATTTTAAGTGCAATATCAAGTCAAGCCTTCTGAACTTATCTACATAGTCAAGGTTAATATACAATCTATGGCAATTTATGTCACATATAACAGTAAAAACGCTCTTAGTGAGCTAGTATTAATTGTTAAGAGATTCCCTCCCTCTTACAAGTATTCCTTCAATGGTCAATCTCCATTTGGAGACCACATCATTCGGCCATGAATGACGATACCACAAATTGTGATCAGGCTGATGATAAATTGAGTGATAAAATTTCCTTCTTTTGCCGTAAATTCTACTTCAATCTAAAGAGTTTAAGTAGGAGGACAAATTCAGAGGACATATAGAAATATTTTAATAAGTTAAAAGTGTAAAATGCATTGCCACGCATTAAGTTGAATTAATAAATGCTAGGAAAATTTCACTGATTGTGTTGCAGTGCGTGCTCACCGACTCATCCCTCTGGCATAAACGTCGGGTAAGATGAGATAAAATCTGTCCAGTGCCTTGTTCCTACCTCAACATCCTCATTAAAACATTTTCGAATATTTGCCAGACGCAAAGGACACGAGCTAATCTCGGCCGACCTGCTTACACTTCAATATTTTGGCATTGGAACTCAACAGAGTGACGAGCTTATTGACTTTGGAAGCACTATAAAACCATTAAAAAATCTCTTTTTTTTCAAAAGAACTTTGGAACGGAAAACACTATTTCAAGTCTGCTATGTTACCATCATAGCAAACCAACCTGCTTGCCTGGTATAATTAATTTATTATTTATTTATTTATTTCAAATAGCAGGCGTTATGATAGGTATCATTAGCCCTTTAGTTGACTTCGGGCTTCACAGAAAGGAAGGTGAATATCCAACTGGTAAAAAGTCGAGAGGGGGACAGAAGAATGATTCACAGACGTAAAAGAGACAGACAGACACAAAGGTAGAAGAAAAAGGTAAGATGAGTACTGTGGAAGTGGTTGAATATGAGAGAAAAGGGTAAGGGGAATACTGTGGAAGGAGTCGAATATGAGAAAGCTGAGTTGAATGCTGTGGAATTATTCGAATATGAAATGTAATGGGGTCATGGCAGTTTGAAGTGAGAAGTCGACTGCTGGTTAATAGACTTTTTTGCCTAATGAGCATGCTTTGCCCAGGGTGCACCACGTGGAGGTAAGTCTGTCGCACACCCCCTGGTATAATTAATAAACTTAAGTGATTAGACCTCGGTTATCCAGAGGAGAAATCCTGAAATTTGAAGAGGTGAACTAACCATCAAGTTAAATAACACAACTCTAAACCACAAGGCAGTTTTGACCTCATTTTCAACATTTCTTTGGTTCCTCACTTTTCCCTCTTATTGAAATTTTGTTCCACTCCACTATAGTTGACTTTCCACTCTGAAGCCTCGTAAGTTGTTGCCTTGTTGTGCGTTTTAAATACTGGGGATTAGACTATTTTTTAAATTATTATACCAGGTATATTTAGTAATTAATATGGCTATTTCTCGGGGTCTTAAAACCAGAATTCCTCCGTTTTGTCCTTCAAGCTCAATAGTTAATTGCATGTCTGCTTAAAATGGTTGAATATAAAGCGGATTACCCCTGAAGTTGGATGTAAAATAAAAGGACAATTGTAAGTCCCATCTTTCCATAAACAAATTGGCTAAATTTGCACTGGAAATTGGGGGGTATTGAAAGGTAGTGATCAAGCGCGTCTGAGTTCTTATTTACATATAGAATTTGCTTTAGTACTAAGTGGGCTCATATAGCTTGTGATCCAGTGATGATGTATGAGAGTGATAAGGCCATCCTAGTAAACCGCACCACCTCAAGTTTTGTTGACAAAAGCTTGTTAATCATGTGTGTGTGCGTAAATCGATGTTTATGTTACTTCATCGGCATATTTACGACCCCGATTTGCACGGTGAAATCAATTACACCTTTGGTACCTTATATGGCCTCACGGAAGGTTAGTGCTGCTTAAGATCATTTGAATGAAGTCTTGTAACTTCAATGTCCCCATAAAGAGGGTTCATAATGTTTATACAATTTATAATCGCCCTTTTTGAGCTTTATGAAGTAGTTATTTTTTTCAAGAGCCATTCTACTGGAAACAAATTGTCAACCCATAAAGGTTAGAAATGACACCCATCATTGAAAACACACCGCATGTCACAACAATTTATCGAATGATTTCGCTCCCACCCTCATAAGGACACGAACTGATCCAAATGTAACAAGACAGGTGTTGTTCCTTCTCTAAAATAACATTACCTTTAACAACTATTTCATGAAATTTTCAAAAATTCTAATTTATTTGATATCAACAAATTATGAGGTATAACAGGGATAGAGAAAAAACGTTAACTCAATTTAGAACAAGTAAATTAAGTAACAAAATATAATTGGAAAGCTGTTTGGTGCAACCTGGAAATTCCACAGGAGCCACAAATCGATTTGGCTAGCATAAATCTCCAACACTAGTAAAGCCTGACTGACTCAGAAATCTCTATAGCTGATTCTCCTACATCTAGCTAGACTCCCAGAAACAGCTAAGCTATAGCCCAGCTATAAAGGAAACAGACGTGTAGGACGGAGCACGTTTATTCAGGACGTATATTGCGGATCAAGTGTCTACACAGGAAGCTTAATCATGATCAGGATGGCGGATTAGGTTAAAAAAACAGAGGTTAATGATTGGTCACTGTTTGTATGGTCGCACCTCCCAATCTTGGCGTGCAGGCATGCGATGACGTGGCCCACACAACTGATAGCATATTTTCATTGTTTGCCACCATGGCCCAAAATATCCACTAGTAGGTAAATTAGTAAGATAAACAAGTTCGAATCCTCATTCTCGCTTCAATAATAGCAAAGCCCTCTACAGCCAGGTAAAACAAGAGGAGGCATAAAATTAGTCAAGCTTATGCATTGCAATTCCCCCTTCCTTTTTATCGCAATCAGTCGTTTTAATTTCACTACCAATCGGATTGAAGAGTCTGGATTCTAATTACATTTAGTGCATTTTAGGAGAAATCTCTTCAAATTTGTGTTTAAAGGAGTGAATTACAATTTTTACAGTCAAGTGTGCCCTCATAGCTTGAACAATTGGTAATTCGACCCATTTGGTAAACGACCAGCTAAAAATAGTTGACCTGTAGAATCAAAATTAGCAATGGTGAAACACGGCCATTGTCATTCCATTAAGATCGAGAATTGACTAGATATTGATCTTAAAATCGACCATTTGACGGCGTTGAGACATCTTTAAGCACCTTACATTCTTCTCAATTTCGCTTTATTTGTCTCTGTCTTATAATATATGTATGAATATTTAGGAATGCTTCGTATCTGCATCCTCTAAACCAGCCTGGGCCGAATGTGGCTTTACCGGCCCCAAGTGTTATGATATCGAGTACACAGACAAAAATGGCAAGCTGTCAGCCGGACTAAGATAACCTTGTGACAAGACTTTTCCTGATGCTATTGGCTAAGCAGGCAGGAACCGAAGAAAGCTTTTTCGGAGACTAGAATGCTGTTCTAACTCATTGCCTGCACACCCATCCCCGAACGCCTGCAATACGATGAGCTAATTAATGCCATCCATTTGAGCTGCCATAACAAACAAAAAAATGAGTCAAATGGGATGCATAATGGACTCACTCTGTCCCAAAGTCAAGTTAAAGGTAAAACACTGCGTCCAAAGGTCACTCTGACGTAGAGTATTTATTTGCGGCCAAAATGTGAGCAAACACAGAGCATAATGACAATATACATGAACAAGGAGTCACTGGGTGAACAAGAGAGTAGTTGGAAAGACAGGTATTAGCGATTCACTCTCCGGACATGTGAGGAGAGAAAAAGGTCGATTTGGGAGTATAAAAATATACAATCAATCTACAATAGCATTATAAGTAGCAGAAAAGTTATTTCGATCCTTCGACACTAGCTGTCGAGAAATTCACTGGCACCTCCCCGACAAAAGAATTCCAATCCTCGTCGTCCTCAGTGGCCTAAAAAAGACGGCTGTTTTAAGTACGCATGGTAAGAGAATAAGCATTGCGACTTAAAATTAAGCCAAGACGATCGACAGAAATCTATGATTGTTATTTCTATTCCCATCCTCAACACAAACCTCCCGAAATCCCTTAGATCTGCTAACTGGTATTCGATCAGTACTCTGTCAACTCGTACTAACAAGTAAGACTGGCAACTCCAATCACTAAATGTGCGCCAATATGTTAATTCCACGCCACTAGAGACTCCGATAACTTTAAGAAGGCGTTTTCTAGTGTCCATCTTGTGTAAAACCCTCATTATTAGCTGGAACTAAACAGTTAGGTTGTTCATTTCACTTAATCATTGTACAACGATGGGAACTGAGGTTTTATCAAGAGGAATGATTCACAATTAAGGGAAACAATAGGATAGACCAATAAAAGCCAGAGGATAAAAATAGAAAACAAAAGTTTGAGCATTGTGATTTAGGCGAATTCTGAAATTTCTTCGACTTCATATGCATACCAGATTAAAATCTTCGCCCTCGCTTAATCGTCCCAAAGTTCATAATTATGAAATAGTGGCCTAAGTACTTGAGTTGAAGTTCGTATTGGTTGGTCATACATACTCGGTGCACTTAACCCTCAAGGTTCCAAAGTTCAACTCGTCGGTGCTTTGATACAACAGAGCTCAACGTAATTTGTACGTTGGGTAACCAACTTGGCCACTCGCAGTCAGGACAAAAATGCAGCTACCAGAAAGTACAGCTAGAATGCTAAAATCTGGAATGCAGCAAAATCTTTTTCAATCATCCTGATAATAAAAATTGCCACCGATTCATCATATTAGCATTTTTAACTTAATTACGAAATATAGTAGCCTTATCTAGAAATGTGAAGGGAAAGCTTCAGATGAACTACATGAAAAAATTCCACCAAATACTCGTGACGAATCACACCTCCATTTTGTAAACAACTGGGCTCAAAAGATCATGCCAACATTTTCTTTCGTAACACACCCATTTCCTTCGAGGCCGACTCCACTGGAGAATAATAAGTTCATAATGAGACACTGGGATGACTATTTATAAGCAGACTTGTAAGCAATGAGGTGAAACGTCGAGAGCGCAGCTTTAAATTAACATACAAAGAAGTTCTCGAGCAAAATGATGGATTTGAATTCTACCCCTCAATTGTCTTAAAACCCGCATAAATTAACGCAGTGATGTCAAACGCACACCGCAAAGTTAAAAAATGGCTTAGATGAAGAAGACACCTCCAGACCGAACGAGCCAAAAAAAAGCACACGGAAGTTTTAAGCAATCGAAAGGAATGCTCACCTTCGCGGAGGGAGAATCGGGGTTAGGTTTGGAGTCCATTCGTACGTAGAAGAGAATATAAGCCGTGGGATGAATTACTTCTTGATCGGAGGAGACTTTGGAGACGCTGAAGTAGGAGAAAAATGAAATGATTAACTGTGTGATTTTGGGACACACCCAAGTACATGACGCAAATGGAATTAAGTAAAAAGGATACTAATTCAGCAATGTTAGAGAGGGTGAACAAGATTCACGAATAGGAATCGAAATTATAATCTGTTTTTGGTAACGTGGATCTACTTCACTCAATTTACGAAATTCCGGTTCACAACACATATACGAACTCACTTTAATTAATTGGATTAGCAAATTAATAAAGAAAAAATAGCAGTCAGCTGTTCTTAAAAGGGTAAGTGCCTACCCTCATATATTCATCAACAGAGGAAGATTGAGAATTTACAACGAAGTATATACATCTCAGACATAACCATCATCTTTGCAAATCGCAAATCAATAACAGTCCGTAAATAGCATAGCTCTCGAAATCTGAACCTAACTGCATTCTAAAACGTAATCCAATGGTGCAAAAGCATATGTGAATTAAACGATTATCAATGTGATCAAGACATAAGAACTACTATCCCATATCCTTTGTTCAGAGGAAACTATAAGCCAAAATTGTAAAATTACATTAATGTTAAGAGGGGAATGGGAACAGAAACCTACGAACCATGATAAAATGCAAGAAACACCTACTAGGATTGACAAAAAACAGAACCGGTCTGAAAGCAAATATTAACTTCAAGAGGGCGTTATAAATCACATCCTCCCAACCCCACCCCACATTCAGTCACAGAAATCGCACGCATATACAATATATTTTGTGGTGGGAGGTCAACAACACTGAGATTTATTTATTTCAAATGGCAGGCGTTTTGATAGTTATCATTAGCTCTGGAGCTGACTTCGGTCTCCACAGAGAGGAGGAAAAACATCAAAGTGACAAAAAGTCGAGAGGGGGGGGGTACAGAAGAGTGTTTCAAA